CAATCATAACAAGTCATCAGACGAAGACCCACAAAAGCTGGAGAAAACCCCCCGCACATACTCACACTGTATGCATCGCACCATCGCAGTTACCTTTAGCACTGAGGACGACAGCAAATTGATCACCACAAAATAACAGAAAATTCTCTCAATAATGAAAAACACACAAACTTGAAGGGTAATTACAGGGTAATTGCAGAGTATAAACAAAAACTTGTGTTGCAAACCGGTAATCCTTAAATAGGCCTATTGACAGTACTGACTGGCATTTATCAGCAATGCAGAGGAGCGGCAACATAAACTTTGTGTTATTTCGGAGCAGGAACACCTCTGACCCTGCGCAGAGGTCAGCTGCAACTATCGCACATATACGCACAAACACACACTCAAACACTCAAGCTGTCACAAGCAGGGGGAGACCAGCTGTTCCTCATTCGCTCGAAGGCTCCATTCCCTCCACGGGTTGGCTGGCTTTGCAGAAACCATTAATCCCTCTGTGAACGCAACCGATGGTTTGGAAAGATCAACCATGAGAAAACACAGAGGGAGGGGTGAGTGAGGATGGGGCTCGAAAACACTTTTTTTTTCCTTCAATTTTTTTTTCCTCTCTGAAATAAATACTGAAGTGGAAAAATAGATTTGTCGTATTTCCTCGGGGATACAAACAATACCGATTTTTAATGGAGATGGAGCAGCAGACAGTTCATGTAACATCTACCAGGTTTTAAAGGAAACTGGAGAAACATGACAGAGAGACTGCAAACAGGCAAGTGTCTAAGAATCCCAAAGTTACTGTGAAGCACACGGGGTAGGAAAGTTTCTTACCAATTACCACCGATCATGTGTTTTACTTACTACAGAACAAATTGTCCAAATGTTATGAGTTCATTCAGTTTGTTGCACAATTATTTTCAATAAAATTACAGGTAATAAGCACAAAGGCTACAATTACTACACATTTACTCTTTTATGTGAACAAAAAGGGGAAAAAACTAAGAGTTAGCACTGAATAAATTGCTCTGCAGCTTTAAAGTATTGAGGGTTTTGCATGTGCGTGATTATAAGGCGTTAATACAAAAGCACATATAGATGCTTATTACAGCTCCACATAATAACTCCATACCGACGATGTGTGAGCTGAACCCTCTTGTCTGTCTCCCTTCATTCATATCAGTGGGATTAGCGAGGATGACACAGACTGTCAGCAACACGTGATGCTTGTATAGTAGCAAGCACAAACACATACATGTGGACAGCAGGCTTCCACCTCTCTTAATTCTGCGCCTATTCCTGCCTTAAGCTATTAGCCCTCCACAATAATAATGTGTAACCCATAATTGCATTAAGAACAAGTAAGGAAAGGGTAAACATGCAGTTCAGCCAGGAAGTATTAGGAAAGTTATTTTTGGTTGCCTTAACACCGCAGGGCATTTGAATTTAAAGAAAACGGAGCCTGGATCATACATGTTTGCACATACACATACACATCAGAAAAACAGACGTTTTCAGCTGTGCTCCAGTAGCTCGTCGTGATGTGCCTAGTTTTTAAGTTAGCTGATATTTTTTTTAAAGCAGAGCTAAAACAATTCTACTGCAACACTTCCTGACGGCACTTTATATGTATAGTAGATAGTGCTAGTCAAAGGAAGAGAGAGACAAATAGAGGAAACTTAAGGTCTTGTCTCTGTGTCCTGCTGTCAGCTTCATCACATTCAGCCATCCTGATGAAAATGAGCACTTCCTGCTGTTGAGAGACGGGCATCTGTTGTCTGTGTGCATGTGTGGCAGCATGGTGGATTGTGCCAACCTCGTTCATTGTTCCACCAGCGCGCACACACACAGCCATATATCGTAATGCATGAATATCTGGAGTTATGCATGTGTGACCATGTTAGCTATAAATCAAAGCGCTTTGCTCCCATAGAATCAAAACCAGAGTGGCTACGCAGGAAGACAGACGCTACCTTGTTGCTAAAGCATTTGCAAGTACTAGTCTAGGGCCAAAATGACACACAGGGAGTGGTTTCTTTCCACGTAGCTAGGGGGAAAAACATGTACGAGTGCACAGTGAAATCAACGTCAGACACCTGAACACAAAGCAGTTTAGCCAAGGACAGCTGAGTGCACATTAGGCATGCATCCTCGTGAATGTCCTTCCAAACACAGGCAGGGAAATTAAAATCCCATTCAGGCCCCCCATGGGAACCATGCACTGGAAGGTTGCATAACTGTCAGCCACAAACAGCAATGGTTTCCTCTCAGAGGCAAAAAAAAAAGTGATCTGCTGTGTTTTGACTACAACCTGGGCACCGAGTGTGTCACCAAGAGAACAGACTTATTCAGGTAAACACATCAACTGACACATCCCATATGGCTATGAGGCGCTGCTGCCAAGTTCTGGTCTCACTCCTCCCTGTAAGTTACAAGCTCTGCTCCCAAAATATACCCCGTCTCCTCCCCACACTGCCTGCTAATTCTCCAGCCCAGAAAAGTACAGCTGAAGATGTTCTGCGGATTATCTCCACAAGGAAACCACGTGCAAGTGTCCACCTTTGTTAATCTACTGAGCACGCACACAATTCAGGCTACAAGCCAATCGCACATACAGCCAGGGAAATGGCTCTTCTGCTTCACGTGACACTGAAAGTTTCACCCACCTGTGCCGCTCTGTGGGATGCCACTGACGGACAACTCCATGGCCAATGCAAGTGCTTCGAGGCCCTCTCCCTACTTAAGGTTGAAGGAAATGGTGCAACAGAGCTTGACTCAACCGTTTAATGCCATTATTAACACTACTTACAGCTTTAGCCAACCAAGACAGCGCCCAGCGGAGAGGAGGCAGGGCCCTCCCACCTGCACCTACATCTACATAAATATTTTAAGAAAGCACCGATTTCACTTCTGCTCACGTCTTTGTTTTTACAACTCTCCTTGGAGAATAAATTTGAATTTAATGGTACGATAATGTAGATGCCTTCACGCTATGTGTAAACGTCCACTTTAATGTGAGACCATGAAAAGGACAGTGCTTCGTATTGGGAGGATTTATTCAGGACGTGTAAAAGGAATTACGTGTCAACTTTTCATCAATATGCATGTTTTAACATAAAACGCCATGCATGTAATGCGAGAGGCTCTTCACAGATATACAAGCGCCTCTGCAGAAAAGTGACTAGCAATTTCTTGAGATGTACACTGCTCAGGGGGAGCGGGTGGGTAAAAGAAATGGCCTACACCGTCTTATTGTTTTCACTCAATTATCTCTGCAAAAAAAGTAACAAGTTTAAAAAAAACTAAATGTGTAACACTGAATGCGGAGCTCCACTTTCCCGTTTCCTTAAATGTGAAGATTATCTGCCTCTGATTACCACTGAAACCTATGTTGCCTGGCAACACACAATTAAGAAGTACGCTTTCCGATCAGCAGCAAGGGCCGCCCATTATCAGATGAAGTTAGTGAAGCAACAAATGTCAGCGCCATGCAAATGAGTTTGTTTGCTAAAAGTGTTATGGGTACGTTCGGCCGTCGCCGTGACCTTGGAGAGACGCGTACATTTCCGCGAAACTGCGAGAGGAACCCTCCTGCCTCCCCCACATCTCCTTCTCCCTCTTCTGATTCTCACACCTCGCTTCTTATTTCCTTGACAACACATGAAGGGAAGCCACTTCATAAAAGTCATTACTCTATAACAAGTGCAGCGGCCCACAGACCCATTAGAGAGGCCGGCAAGATACAGGGTTACACGGCTGAAAACAAGGTTAAAAGATTTAATTCCTCCCTAAGCTCATCAGCTCTCATCAGCCGGGAAATATATCAACTAGTTAGAAGGAGAAATCAAAATAAGCTGAGATGATGCCTCATTGGAGAATTCACTTGCAGTATCTGGACATAAAACGCTACCTCACTACTTGTGTTAGCCTTGTTTGAGGCCCATTAATAACTGTATTTCCGCAGATCTAAATATAAAAGCACACTTAGGAAAGCTCCAAAAACATATTAATTTAGTAGTTATTTCCTTAATGGCTCTGTCACTATGAAAAAAGCTATAATGAAATTTCAAAGTGAACATCAACTGCTGTTTATTAGCAGTGATTTTACAATCTAAACTGTATACTGCTTTTTGGAGCATGTTGGAAAACGTGTACAATGCAGATCAGTGGACATTTACTTAATAAACTCAATATATCAGTTAAATTTGAGTTTATAACAAAAGAAACACTCTTTTAGTTGCGCTGCACTGGAAGCAGGATTTGAGTGGAAGCGTGGAGTCTATAAAAACAGTTACCTCCTATAGTTGACGCAAATATACATCCAATTAGTGTAATTGGATTTGAGGCGGTTAAGCCCCAGATTAGGAGAGAGTGCAGCGTAAAATAGAATGACAGTAGCTCTGTATCAAGGAAATAAACTTTTACATATAAGACAAGCTTAACATTGATGCAATTCTGTCACTTAACTCACTCTGTCTAATATCTTACACTTAAATAATCAAAAGTGTTTAAAATGTGCTTTCTAACTTCACCAAATCAAGTGCAGGCAACCTTGAAAAGCAAAACGGAGCTGCAAACCACTCCAAAAGCACATTCGTGCCTGAAAATAATTCTGACCAACAATTTTAAAAGGAAATAGATGGAAAAAATGTTGACCTCAATAAAAGCAGTGCTGCTCAAAAGAAATATTTCAACGTGATGATGAGACAGGATCCCCTCTGGCAAATGACACAACTCTCTTGCAATACATGTATAAATAGTTGCGTAATTCAAAAAAGAAGACCCCTCCGAGCATAGCTACTTAACTTGTCAGATGCATCTTGCATGCTACTCCTCCATTCAAAACACTGTCAGTGTGATTTTTGTCCTAGTATGCCAAAATCCATGTCAAAATATGTAGAACTAATATACAGAAGAAAATTATTACCAACTTACAAAAAAAAAGGTTATTCAGCAATAAGGATGGAAGGTTTGCATAAATTCATGAGAAAAGTGAGGTTGGACATTACTTGTGTCAGGCGTAGTGACCATGGTTGAGACTATGACAGGTGGACCGGTGCGGCGTCCCACCATCTTGTTGTTGTTAAGGTTTTGCGCTTGAAGAGTGGTGGCAGAGCTGACGGGAACTATGGTACTCTCAGGAGCAGCATTGATCCCCTTGCGGAGAAGTTGTGGGCTGTGAAGGGGGCTTGCTGCTCCTAAAGGTGATGCTGGGGGAAAGTTGGGGGCTCTCTTCATCAGTTCCATCGGGGAATAGGAGCCAGAGAAGGTTTTAGGTGCAGCTCCAGGGGTGCCTGGAGCAGGTGGAGGCTGGTTTCCGAGAGCAGACATGGCAAGACCGGTGTGGGCATTATACATGGAGAAGGGTCTTCCCTGAGTCACAGCACTGCTATATCCTCCAGGGCTGACTGGAAAAGCTGCAGGTGCCAGCGGCCGTGCTCCTGGGTAGGTGGTGGTTTCCAGAAGATGTTGGGAGGGTGCGCTGCTCGGTCTTCTACCCAGAAATTCTCCCATTCTAGGGGAAACTGTCTGGACAGTGGTGGGAGGTTGCTGCATCAGGTTGGGGTCCATAGTCAAACCCTGGGGCTGCACGTAGAGGTCATTGCGATGGCTGAAGCTATTAGATCGGGCACGTGTTGCCGTCCCAACTGTCTTGCAACTGAGCACCACTCGTGACAGAACACGGGCCTGGGCCAAATTAGGGGCCACAGATCTAACATCATGGTCCTCCATCATCCCCAGTGTGGAAAGGGAATCAAAGCCATGTTGCAGCAGAAGTGTAATTGTGCTTTCAGCCAAGCCTTCCCCTCTTAAGAAAGCCAAGAAAGCAGGGTCCACCATCTTCTTAGGGTCTGCAGCACTGGGTTGGTGAGGAGGCAAGGTGGAGACCATTCCAGCTGTGGCAGCCACCATGGCTGAGCTGGGGTCATAGTTTGGATCATAAGGCAGCCTCTGGGAGGCTACAGCTCCGTAAGCCCTGGGGAAAGCTGCGTCCATTCCCTGAGAAGCTGGATCCACCAATGAACTGGTGACAGCTGGCTGAAGGGGATCCAGGCGCAAGCTGTTGATACTGTTGTAAGTTTGACGAGCAGACAGCGGTTCAGCAGCGTAAACAGGAAGCGGGGGCTGAGCCCCGAAGATCGCAGTAGCGGGAGAGCTGCCACCAATACGCTGGACGTCTGGGATCATCTTAGATCCCAGAGTTTCCCTGTACAAACGGCTCAGCTCATGAAGCGGAGGGGGAGGTGGTGGCGGAGGAGGCGGGGGAGGAGGGGGAGGAGGAAGAGGCGCGGGTGTAGGTGTAGAAGCAGAGGCCAGTAAAGAGGGTGTGGCTCTTGCTTGTCCTTGATCCCAGGAAGACCTAACCCCCCCAACGCTGGGCCCATAATGCAAGGCTGATCTGGTGAGCAAGTGCTGGTTATCCCTGTAAAACCCAGACTCCTTAGGTGGATGACCAGATAAGGTGGCGTCAGTGAGGTAATAATCCTGAGGTGGTGCTGAGGCCCGGCCTGCCATTAGCTCCTTGAGGTAGAGACTGCTGCTTAGGTCAGGTACAGAGGTTTTCTTCAGTGGTGGCTGCCCATGCTGGTCCTGCTGGATCTGTCTGTATAGAGAGGAGTGGAGGACTGGATCCTGTTTTTCCCCAAGATCTAGGTGACCGTGAAACCAAACGTCTCCGTCTTCCCCACACAGTGCAGAAGAATTTCTACACCCTGCAATGTTACCGCAGTAGTGACAGCGACTTGCAGCCCTATCGTTCTGGCCTTCACTCCATTCAGGACCACGCTGGCTCAGAGAGCCACCAAAATACGACTGTTCACTTGAGTTAGGCATCAGTGAAGACAATAAAGAGGGCAGCTATAAAGGCGGAAAATAGAGCCAGGTGTTGTATTTCAACTCTCCAGTTACACTCAGCCCCAATCAAAAGAGAGGAACAGAGAGGAAAAAAGGAAAGGTGAAGCAGGAGGTACCCTTTTACCTGATGTGCAACCGAAAGCCCCCCTCCCCTCCCCTCACTTCTCAGTCTATGCTATCATGTAGCTCCCTGCTGGCAACCTATTTAAATAATTCAGTCCTGGAAACATGAGAAATCTGTGGGGAGAGAGGCCCAACATGATAAAAACACAGAAAGAATACAAACACACAGAAAATTAACACACCTTTAGGTTGCAGAGGTCATGCTTGTGCTGGGTATCACGGTTACTTTCCAAGCTAAGACTGAGGGTGAGAAATTGGGGTTAAAAAACACATGCTGGACAATGGCAGCAGAATGGAGGAGGGGACAAGGCGAACTAATCCACTGGGGGTTGATGCACCCCATTGGCAGGCGTAGTCTTCTTGTCCACTGCGTTTGCCACAAGGGGATTAGCATCAAACTAAAACCTGCTTAAATCCACTGCCCCTTGTGACATCACTTGAACTAGATAGTATACACAGCCAACATACTGCTGATACCTCTGGATGTGTTTATAGAGAGTAAAGCTCGAGTGTTTACCGCTCACCTCTCCATTGGCTTGCAGCCGGTATCCCTCTGGGCATTAATGGATCTTCCCAGAGGGACAGAGGAGGTTGGGGATTGACATGGTGTATTTCCCTTAAGAGAGGGGGAGGAGATGGTTACAGTGTCCAGTCACACAAGTACTACTGTGGGCCACATTTTATTTAGTGACTGCTAGAAAACGACAGGAAACCACTGGGCAAGTTGACATATATGAATGCCTATAATCAGCCATGTTCTAATGATTGTTTTCGTCATGACTGATTTATACTACGATGAGTAGTGTCTATATGGTCCTTGTAATGCATGATCCTAGAGACACCTACTGCAGTAGGCTGGTGTGTCAACATAATAGTATCTCAACTGTGCACAAGGCACTGAAAGAACATTACAGGTGTGTAGCAGCAATCTAAATACGTGTGAACTGAATTAGTGCATTATTACATGGTACTAAGCCACTATATCTATCAATTTGTCAGCAGGCATTCTGGTCGATGTGAGCCATCACAATATCATCTGTGCGCGTCATTTTTATCCACTCACAGAACTTACACTTTGCTACTGCACACCAGATGCGCAGCAGAGCAGATGTGGCTTATGAGATGTCACCATCAGCGAGATAACTGCCAGTGTTTACTTGCTGTGATAAGAGCAATGCAAACAGTGGCAAGAGGAGAAGAAAGGAGCTTTGATAAGTGTCTGATAGGAAAAAAGGCCGATAAAGTGAGAAGCTGCCAGTTTTGACTTTACCTCGAAAACAGATAATGTGAAATAGGACAAGGAAGGAAAGGAAGGGAAAATGACTGGACTATACCGAATAGATTGTCACATCTAAATGTCTATAGGATTGTTTCTGTTCTGCGTTTTACCCATCAATGAAATAGACACCTCGGGTTTAAAGGAATACCTTTTGCTGCAAGTCTCTAGTGACATCATCTGGATGCTTCTGAAGCTAAGACACTGAGACAGCGTGACTGAGACGGGCTAAATTTATTCCAGTTTAAGACTAACAAGAAACTGCTATAATGCTGTGTCTCTTTATGTTGTCCCACTACCTGTCAAACCGCAGAGCCAAATACTAGAACCGCCTTGTTTTCGACTCCAGGCTTAAATGATGCAATAGTGATAGAATATCTAAACAAAACCAAAAAAACAACAAGAGATTTTTTAATTATGGAACATCTGAATCAGAGAGCATTAAGTAGGTCAAACAAAGAAGAAATCAGAACAGTTTTGTTTCTGCCTGCAGCTCTGTGCAGCGCATGATGTCGCACATCTGAAGAATGCTTTCTTTTATTAGAGGTAACCCATACCTAGCAATTTCCGTGCAGTGATTTCTCAGTCCTGTACTCTCAGGTCTGAGTCTCCCTGCGCCTTTTTGTCAACTGTAAAACACACCATTAATCACTGTGTTGTATCTCTCTGCGGCGATCGCAGACAATAACTTCTTTTAATAAGCCCCTTTCAGGGCTGTGTGTCACTCAGTTCCCGCTTCCTGACAAAATATTAATAACAATAATAAACATCTCAAGTACGGTCGGACTGGTGTTGCTTACAACGAAACAAGGACGTGGCTTATCATATCTCCCGCAATCTATTAGCAAAAGAAGCTGTGGTGGCAAATTCATCTTGTGCATTTTCCCTGACAAGCCTTTCTCTCACGAGAGTTGCTCCATAATTAAGTGAGCATACTACACTGCACTCATCAAGCAACAGGGATCCTGTGTTTGCTTGTATGAATAATACAATAAAGGGAAACTCCAAATTTAAACACTGGATATGTGGTGAACGGCATCAAAATTAATGCCAAAACCTCGGCTTGCTAGCTCACAGCCAGTCATGCGGCTCTGTGAAAGATCTCTAGGTACAATGTGTTGAACAGACGTCCAGCAACAGTCGTGCCTTTGGAGCAATCTGGCCATCTTTCTAGGGCACAGGACGCTAACGGCGGGACTTGGCAGGCAGTGCAGGCAGAGATAGCTGCAGAATGATTTAGATAGCTGCGACTCTACAACTGCTGATCCATTAAACTTTCATAGGGACTTCATAAATTAAAACCATGACTGGAAGAACTTGAAAATTCTACTCAATTACTGTGATTGTACAGTATATTAAAGTTTTAACGAGCCTCTGGGCCTTTTCTCACTCAAACACAAGTGCAGGCAGGAAGGAGGGGCGATGAGGAAAGAAAAACACATGGTACCAATTCTGGTCTGATGGCTTTCAGAGGGTTTACATCTGCTGTGTTATCAAGACGCTGTCCTCTGCCTCTTTACCACCTCGCATCTCTGCAGTGCACGGCTCAGCATGTTACAGATTTCAAGGATGGGAGGAACGCAGGGCAGAGAGAGAGCCGCTACAGGGCAAGACCTCAAGTAGACTTGGTGAAGCAACTGATTAGAGTTTTGTCTTCCATTTTAGCAGGTTGGTATTTTCCATCTTTGCCTTGTGCACAGCCCCACGCTCCGCCTGCCTATCATTATCAAGCCAGTGGCCCATACTGCATCACAGATGGGGCAGACAGAAGGGAGAGACGACAGCCCGCTTGCATTTTGGAGCTGCAGCTGAGTGAAAGAAGAGGGAGGGAAGGAGAGAGCAAGAGAGAGAGGAAAGGAGAGAAAATGTAATTTTTCTCTAAGTCGTTGGTGAAAAATGATTTGGAGTTCGGCTAAATGAAAGAGCGCTTTTTGTAGTTAAAAGCAGAGATGTGGGGGAAGGGTGGCAATATTCGTATGCGCTGAACGCTATAGAAGGCGAACGTTATTTATTTTCTGTAGTGTTAATGCATAGTGTATAAAGGTCAGTACGTCTTCTGGCACTTTTTATTTAAGAATAGCCGCAATCTATGTTTCATCTCCCAAGATAAGCTAGACTACTCATTCATCAGTGTCTTAGACAAGCAGCTGCACGTAATCCTGATAAAACACCTATAAAGAAATATAATGCAACAGATTTCTTACCCTCAGTGATTCCAATTTTAGCTATAAAGCAAAAGGAGAAGGACATAAGAATTACAGCAATTTTCAGCCAGTGGATGTGTTGTCAGTGCTGCAAGTGATGCCAGTGCTAGGTAAAAGAGACTTCTGCAGTAAATCTTTGTCGAGCCTATAGCGTAACCTACAGTTCACGACACCATTACCGGCATTCAGGACTTTGTGTGGTTTTTAATCTGTTAATTACCTCATGGTTGTGTCCCAGTGTTTTATATGTGGTACCAGCCACAATAGGAACAAATAAGATGCTTTTCCCTCCTGGGTCCTCCACTCTTTTTTGGGGGGGTCATTCCCTTACGTACATTCCAATAATTGCAATTTCTGCAATCCTTCTCCAGGACATATTTCAGTCCTTATATTGAGATAATCATCCCTGTTCTCTCACTGACAAATTCAAAAACTGCAGCAAAAAATTACTTGGAAATGCACAGAACGAATCGACGGTACTGAACAGGCCAGTCGAAGCAACATGTACTTACATTTCCAGGGAGGTGCATGCTACCATGTAGGATTTCAGAGATGTCTGCGATGTACCTACAGTGTAAATTCAACATTTAACAAATATAAATCCACTGACAGGCTCCAGCCTCGCTACAACCCTGAACTGGATAATGGGTAATAAATATGGACTATCCTGTTCAATTAATGTATTAAGTGAGAAACTATATAGCATATATACTGTACTACATGAAAGCATGCCACAGCTGTAGTCTAAAAGGAAACATATTCTAAGTTCAAAATTAATTTAGAGTAATCAACTGGCAATAAACTGGCAATAAAATATAAGAAACGATTTTGACACCATTGCTGGGATGGCAGTCCTCAATCCTCAATGCTATAAATTCATTGATTCATTCATTATGAATCAGCCAACAGATATATTTTTAAACCTTTCATTCAAGCTGTATCGATTGGGTTCTAGTTTAAAGAAAACGGCCACAAAATAAGCTTCATTGAATAATCAGTTAAATAAAAGATCACCAAAAATATAATTTTCTTAACTGGTGACTCTAAGCTTCTCTGAATCAGTAAAGCTGGTAAGAACACCCAAACAGCTAGTTACATGACTTACGTTATTTTTCCTCAAGTGCTCAATCCAGTTCAAAGTTCACACTAAACAGATTCACTATAACAGTTATAAGCAAATGCAATCAGAAACTAGAAAGAACAATTCTGCTTCTGTGTCTGCAGTACTACTTTTGTTTTGCATCTAATAAGGATAAATTATATTCCTAATTATTCCACCATAAAGTGCCATCATGTTGCACAACATGAATAAAATGCAGATGCTGATAAAAACATTATCTGACTAGATTAGAGCGGCACTAATCTAACCCAGAGGG